CTAAATTAATATCAAAGCAGGCGTTGAGACAAGTATTACTAGAAATAGGAGGGGCACTGCATACTAATAGAAGTGTCTGCCTAACTGAAAATATCACTTTCCTTTTATGTATTTAGAAATGAGATACATGAAGCAAAAAATAACAGAACCAAAGAAAGAAGTAGACAAATCCAAAATCATAGTTGGAGATCTACACACACACACACACACACACACACACACACACACACCCATAATTGACAGAACTAAATAAAAATCAGCAAAGATATAAAAGATCTGAATATACTATCAACCATATTGACATAACTGAGTATTTATACAACACTATGCCCAACAATTGCAAAATACACATTCTTTTCAAATACAAATGGAACATTCACCAAATAGAGCATATGTTGAGCCATAAAGCAGATCTCAAGAGATTTCAAAAGACTGAAGTCTTACAGAGTAGGTTCTCTGATCAGAATGGATTAAATTAAAAATCAACAAGAGGCCAGCTGGAGTGGCTCAGTGGTTGGTACAGGAGATCGAGGTTTGATTCCCGGTCAGGGCACATGCTGGGGTTTCGGGTTCGATCCCTGGTGGGGGGCGTGCAGAAGGCAGCCTATCAATGACTCATCATTGATGTCTCTACCTCTCTCTCCCTCTCCCATCCTCTCTCTGAAATCAACAAAGATTTTTTTTTTTAAAAAAGACATTTTTAAAAACCCTGCATATTTGGAAATTAAACAACTCACTTATACAAAGTTTAAGATGAAGCAAAACTAATCTATAGCGATAGAATTCAGGATAATGATTTCTTTTGGGTGAGAAGAGGCACAAGTGAGCATTCTGGGGCTCCAGAAATGTTCTATATCTCAATATTGGTGGTGGGTATGCAGGTATATTTATATATAAAATTCAATCAGGATTTGCATTTGTATACTTTATACCTCAATAAAAAAGTAAATTAGAAAAAGAGACATTAAATTTCCTAGCTCATGGAAGATGCTTACTAAATGTTTAATAAATTTTAAAAGGAGAAAGATAAAGGATGGAATGAAAAGTTCTAATGTACATCTAATACCATTTACACCTATTAAGTTGGGAAAAAAATAAAGAAGTCTGACAGTGCCAAGTGCTGGAGAGAATGAAAATCAATGGGAACTTTGATACTTTGCTGATAAGAATATAAATTGATACAACCAACTACTTTGGATAACAATTTGGCATTAGCTTATAAAGTATAACATTCACATACCTTACCACCTGGCAATTCAATTCCTAGGTGTATACCCTAGAGAAACTCCTATCCAAGTGCACCAAGAGATAAGTATAAGAATGTTAATAGTAGCCCTGTTTTTAACAGAAAAAACTGGAAATATCCCAAATGTCCATCAACAGTAAGACGTTAACAAATTATGGTATATTCACACAATAGAATATTATCTCACAGTGAAAAATCAGTAAACTAAAGTGACTTGCAACAACATAGATATTTGAAACTTAATGTTGAGGGGAAAGGGAAGTCACAGAAAAATAGAAACAGTATAATACCATGTTCACGAAGCTCAAATGCAAGCAAAATTAAACAATATGTTATTTAAGTATATATAATTTTTAAAGCAAGTAAATTATAAGTACAAAATTCAGATAATAGGAAGAGGTGGAGTGATAGGTAATGTTCTAGTTAAAATTGGATGATGAGTTCATGGGTATTAATAATTATTTTTAATCATTTATATGTAATATTTTGTATGTATTAAATATGATAATTCAGAATATTTTAAGTAAAGAAAGACAACAGAAATAAGGAGAATTTCATCTACTAGGTGTGTCAGGGGTCCCCAAGGTCACCCCCAGATTCGGTGATTCACTAGGACTCATAGGACTTAGCATATAGTTGCACTCCTGTCTACGATATGTGACAGCCAAAGGATACAAAGCAAAATCATCAAAGGGAAATGGCACATGGGCCAAAGGCCATAGGGGAAAAAACAGCACAAGCTTTCAAGAATCCCTTCCCAGGGAGTCACACGGGACCCTTGATTCCTCCAGCATGGAACTATGTCAACACTTATAAAGTGTTGTATATCAGGGAAGCTTGCCTGAGTCTAAGAATCCAGAGTTGGTACCAGGAGCCAGTCATGTAGGCACTCTGCCCAGCATGTACCAAAATTTCAGACTCCCAGAAGGAAAACAGGTGTTTAGCATAAACCATATTATTTGCGCAAACAGGTTTTTTGTTTGTTTGTTTGTATGTTTTTAATATATCTTTATTGATTTCATAGAGAGGAAGGAAGAGGGAGAGAGATAGAAACATCAACAATGAGAGTTGTTAGCTGCCTCCTGCACTCCCCCGACTGGGGATTTGGCCCATAACCTGGGCATGTGCTGACCAGGAATCAATGGCAATCTTCTGGATCCTAGGTCAATGCTCAACAATTTGCCTCCAAGCACACCTTTCATATGCAAACCAACCAATCCAAAGTCCATACTCCCACTACCTCCTCTGTCTAACTCTGACATAATTGCCCTAAATCACCCCAGACAACTAGGGATCTACCCCTATAGCCCAGAGCCCAACAAAATTATTCAAACTAGCCAATCCTAAACTGCTTACCTTGCCTCGTCCATTCCTGCTTATAGAAACCACAGTAAAGGCTCTGGGCCTTGTTCTCCCCTTGGTCCTTCTGCCTCCTGACCAACCCTGATACTTCCCCATCTGGCCCTGCCATGGTGTGGTGTGCCCCCCTCTCTTGCGAACTGTGAATAATAAAATTTTCAATGGCATTGAACTCCTGTGTCATTTAAATCAAACCCCAGGTACAATCAAAACAGCTGTCACTTCTATTATAGTAGTTAATACATACTCTCTGATATTATGTATATAGCAGACACTGTCCTCTCTAGAGTTTATTCTCCCTGAGAGCAAAAACTATATTTTACTAAGCTCAATAATGTGTTAGCTGCACACACAAACACACACGCACACACACACAGAATCATTGTTTACCTAACTGAAATGTCTGCTGAACTGTGGCCAATTTCTGTCTCTTGGGAAAGCCATTTCCTTGGGATTGGTCTTCTCCCATAGCAAAAATACACAGAACATGTTCAGGAATGGTTCTCATTTTCCACAGGGAAGAAATAAAAAGCCAGCCCCCTAACAAGGCACCATGTGCACTGCCAGGTCCCAACAAGGAGTCTAGTCCTAGGCATCACGGGAAGGACTTACACAATTACATAGCAGAAAATTAGTGACAGTGAAGACTGTTCAGCCACTTATGTAGCTCAGGACTCTGCCTCAGTAGCACAGGGGACAAAACCTGATGGCATTCATTGGAGAATAAATAGAAATTATTAATTGCTTGAATAAATATTACTTAATTGGATTGGGAATGGGGGGAGGGAGACTGTTTTCCAACATGCACAGCATCTTAAGTACTCTACTGCCAGGATTTGCTCCATTGTATCAAAAAATATCTTTGTCAGCCCAGCCAGCATGGCTCAGCAGTTGGGCATGCACCTATGATCCAGGAGATTGAGGTTCAGTTCCTGGTCAGGGCACATGCCGGGGTTGTGAGCTCAATCCCCAGTGGGAGGCGTGCAGGAGGCAGCTGATCAATGACTCGCTCATCATTGATGTTTCTATCTCTCTCTCCCTTCCTCTCTCTGAAATCAAGAAAAACATTTTAAAAAAAAAAAGACATGTAACGAAATAATATATATATAATATACATATATCCTTGTCAACCCTGGCCAGGTAGCTCAGTTGGTTAGAGCATCCTCCCAATAAGACAGGCTAGTAAACCAGGACAAGCAGAATAGAGAAACAGACAGATAAACAGCAGTTTGCGGCCATCTAGTAAATCCTATCTTCCCTAAACCAGGACACTTAAGAGTAAATGGTTTGGCCCTGGCCAGTGTGGTTCAGTGGCTAGAGCATTGGCCTGCGCACCAAAGCCTGAGGGTTGGATTCCCAGTCAAGAGCAGGTACCTGAGTTGCAGGTCCGATCCCCT